TCCAAAGATGCATCTCAAGCCGGTCTAGAGAGGTGATACTTCCCCTCTATGCGACTTTGGTCAGGCTGCAATTGGAGTACTGCATCCAGTACTGGGCACCACACTTTAAAAAGGATGTGGCCAGCCTGGAGAGGGTTCAGAGGAAGGCCACCCATTTGGTGAGAGGGCAGCAGGACAGGCCCTACGAGGAGAGACTGAGGGACCTGAACCTGTTGAGCCTCGGCAAGAGGAGGCTGAGGTGGGACATGGTGGCTGCCTACAAACTCATCAGGGGAGGTCATCAGCAAATAGGAAGAGCCCTATTCTCCCCAGCACCACCTGGGGTGACAAGGAACAATGGTAATAAGCTGATGGAGAATAGGATTAGGTTAGAGATCAGGAGGCAATATTTTACTGTTAGGGTGGCCAGAATCTGGAACCAACTTCCCAGGGAAGTGGTCCTCACCCCTACCTTAGGTAAATTCAAAAAGAGGTTAGATGATCACCTGTCTGGGGTCTTGTGAACCCAGCATTCATTCCTGCCTGTGGCAGAGGGTCAGGCTAGATGATCTGTTCAGGTCCCTCCTGACCCTAGCTACTATGAAACTATGAGTTCCACCAAGTCTCCACATCCTGCATGATTTTCTGTTGCGGGTTGCTCAGCTCTGCCTGTTTCTCTCACAGCATCTTGCCCCACTTGATGCTGTGGTGGAAGTAGCCCACCACCTTCCTGCATTTCAAAATCATCTGGCTTGTAACAGTAGTGGTGGCGGTGCCATCACTGGGGGCCCTGTCCCCCTCCAAGGCATCCCTCACTATGAGGTGCAACCTGTGTGCCACACTGCGGGTGCCAACAAAGTTGGCATCACAGATAACCTTCACCATATTGGCCCCATTGTCAGTGATCATGGAGCCACCCCTGCACCATGCAGTTCATTGGCTCTCATGATCTCCCTTGCTGTGTGGGACTCATCCAGCACCTTAGCTTGGAGGAGAGCCCACCGACGGCATGACTGATTGCACCTGTGCCCTGTGATGGAGAGGTAGGTGTGATCGCCACCCCTGCTGCTGCAGATGTCAGAGGTAAAGTGCAAGGCTATCTGTGGCCTTGCCTTATGCAGCTCCTCCCTCAAGTACTCCCTGGATGCCTCATACAGGGAGGGCATTACTGTCCTGATAAAGGTGGTGCATGTGGGCACTTTGTAAGATGGGGCCAGAAGCACTATGAGCCACCTGAACCCTGGCCGCTCAAGTAGAGAGAAGGGCTGGCTGTCCAGAGCAAGCATCTCCCCAGTGGTCTGGGTGATCTCACTCGCCTATGCAACTCACCCCCATCTGCTTCAGCTTTCCCCCACTGGTCCAGGGTGTCCTGCTCTGCTTTGGGGAGAAGGGGGTTTTGGAGTGAGCAAGGGACTTCCCTTTCGACATGCTCTCAGTAGTGCCAGGCTGAGCAGCAAGAAGAGCAAGGGGGTGCTCCTCCTGCCATGGTGGAAAAGTGTTTCACGTCCTAGCCTCGGCTGATGTGCCTTCAGCAGTGCTGGCAGATAGCAAACCTGGGATCATCTGCCAGCTCAAAATGCTCCCATACTATGCTACTCACCTGCTTCTGGGTTGAGGGTGAGGATGGTGCCTTTTGCCACTCCTCAGCAGGCTGAGGCACAACAGCAGGAGCAACTGCCTCAGTTGAGCCACTTGCCTCCACAACCTCAACCTCCTTGACGTACCGCTTCCCGGAGGAAACCTGGGTCTAGGGGAACTTTGAGGCATGTGGAGCACAAACTCTGATTCCCCCTCAGTCCCCAGAATTGCTTGAGCCAGGGCACTCAGCACCACTGGTTCCAGCTCCAGCTCCTCCTCTGGCAGTGGGAGGCTCATGCTGAGAGATGATATTGGGGTGGAGGAGACAAGTGATTTCACTGCTAGTGCCTATTTCTGGACTGAGGGGAGGTGGTGCAGGTGCAGGGATGTCAGGTGCAGGTACTATTCCCACCACCTGGGTTCCACTGGCAGCAGAAGTGTTATTGCTGCTTGGAAAGAAAATGCAGGTCTAGCTCTCCCCCTACCCCCTCTCCCTCCCCTGCCAGAAGACCTGGCACCTGCCTTTCCAGCACTCTTCATATTAATCTTTCCTGTGCTGCAAAAGGTGTGTGTGTCACTCCTTTTGTGTTGTGTGTTTTCGTCTTTTGCGTTGCAGGTGTGCACTGGACCCTGGTTTGACTGTTTAATTCACTAATAAGTATGAAGGCCTATGTAAAAAATGTGTGCTGTCTGTCTTCTTCTCTGCTGGGATATGTTTATTTTTTATGAATCCTGAATGTGGAGTGTAACTCTGTTGTGTGCTTTATTCCCCCTGTATTGTGTGTGTGCATTGGATTCTGCTTTGATTATTAATAACTATTTATGGTGTTGTCTTCTGTGATGTTCTGTTAATGTGAATGTGTGACTACTACTGTACTTCTTGTTTTTCTTCTGTGTCGTAATGTGTACCTAAAATGATATATCTCCTTCTTCTAAGACCCTGAGTTCTGTGTTAGTCTCAATCTGAATCTGACTTCTGTGTTGTCTTCAGTCTCTATGTAAACTAACTATAATAATATTAATAACGAATAACTGCTATATATAATCTTACTCTCTTCTTCTCCTATGAATATCTGATTTTCCTTCTTCTATGTATGTATAAGTGTGTGTGTGCAATCTGTGTGCCTCCCTGCACAGTGATGGATCACGCTGGCAGGGAAAACACTGAACTTTCTATTTTCAAAGTTTGCAACAAAAAAAGAGAGCAAATATAAATTGAAAGAAATTAATTGGATAGTTTTAAGTAAAGTGATTCTAAGTTAAGCTAAATCCTATCCAATCCTTTCTAACAAAAAAAAGGAGCAGGCAAGTTGCAACTGTTGACTGTGAAACAAGCCAGGCAGCATAGCACCTTTCTGACCCTGTTCTTGAGACAGAACCAGCTCAGAAAAAGCAGAGCAAGCCCGCACACAGAGGCTTTTGCTGTTTCTATGTCCCTCCCTCCAGACACTGTAGTTGA